GTGCCCACAGAGGGCGCTGTGTGCCACCTCTGGCACAGGTGCCATAGGTTCGCCATCACGGGTCTCAGGTGTTTACATTAAGTAGCTCATTGAATATGTAGCACCATGTATTTCAACATTTCTCCTATGGGTTATACCGAAAGTTGATAAGAAGGATTCAGGGACTGTCTTTATTTACAGTTTGGCCTTAATACTCTGTTCATGTTATAAAAAAGATTTTAATCTTTTTTTTAATCTTCTGAGAAGCCTCTCTGGACATATTAAAAGTAAGCTGCCCATAGCAGTTTTTGAAATTGTTATTGTACCTACAGTATGGTGTGGTTAGTTCATTTTCTTTTAATGTATTTGTATTTGTTGACTGTAATTCTTCTTGATAGGAGGGAGAAGTTTCACTCTGGAGAGCTCCTTCTCCACCCCCGTTATATTTTGGAACCAAAATTGGGGGAAAAAAAACCCTTTAAAGTCTACCTTCCATCCCCAAAATTCACAGTGTACAGGTTGTATTTCACAATAATGTGCAACAACAATAATGACAACAAAGAACACATAAAGGAAGGAAACCACAAAATAAAGCTTTCTATATTTCATCCCTGACAGGCAATTCTAATTGCTTTCATGAGAGACACTAATTAAAAATGAGCTCTTCCCCCCTCCCCATCTGATATGAGCTTGTAGCTTCCTTGTTTTTAAGACTGTAATGGATTACTGTTTCCCTCTAGCCAGCCCCCACCCCCTGCTTTGAGCTGACATTTAAAGCAGAGGCAATTTCCATTTATGCCAATTATCACTGCCAACCGTGTAGGGAATAAATTAGAGATATTGTTATTATTAGGCAGAGTGAGTATATTCACGTTAATGCTTAAGAGCCATAGTTCATAAGACTGCTAGTTTCTTGCAAGTAAATGGAGAACATAATCTTGGGCCAGGCTGTGCAGGATTTTGGAGAGGAAGCAAGCTGGTCTGTTTCCAACTGTGAAACTTAATTGTCAGATCTACAGACATGGACTAGGTTTACCTGTAAGGAATATAATATCAATAACAATAATAGACTAGAATTCTCAAAAGGGCAATGCCTACAATTTACCCAGAATAAAATGAATTTCAACATTAGTGGTGTCAGCATCAGTTATGCACTAAAAATAGATTTGATTATTCCTTTTATATTTTCTATTAAAACATTCATTTATCATTCTGTTATTCATTCACTTGAACTAAATTCACAGTGTTATAAATTTCATTTGGGTTCATTATATCCATCAATTCTTATTTCTCATTAGTTTGGTGAAAATGAGACTCAGCTGGTCTGCTGCCTGTTATTTCAGTATTTTTCATTCTGATCACATGGCATAGTCAAGTAGTCTACTACCATGTCATGATAAATTTTAGAAAGACAGGAGATAAGGTATTTCATATGTTCACCCAGTGCAGAATAGTCAATGCTACATAAAGAGACAGAACTCAATGTCATGAAACATATGAGCTCATGTATGGAATATGGTGGTTTAGGGACCCATTAATTTCCATGAAAATTCCCTAAATCCTTTTCTTACAACCTTGTTACACCCTTCCAAAAGCTCCCAAGTTATCTAGGTATCCTGCCATTAACCACCTTATTCCAATGTAATGGTCTGAGAGAATAACCTTGGAAGGTAAGAGGAGGAAGAGAAGCCACAGCCTAGAGCAAGAGATATCTCATGTCCACAGAAGGAATAGAGGTTTGGGAAGCATCCCAGAAAGGACCATCTCTAGTTCTCTGGAAAGTGACACAAAGGAAGAGGAGAAATGCTTACAGACTTGCAGAACACTGGAATTATAATCTCAAATAAATGGTAGCACTAATGCTCATGGTTTTGGTTTCTGGACTGGATTACCTTAAAGGGCTGACTGACATCCAGAGAAATTCCCTTTGCCCCCAGTGTATCAGGGAGGAGGTAAATAGCAAATCCACTTTTCCATCTAATCTGGTAAGAAGACAGATAAACCAGGTGGTTTTTTGAGCATGAGTACCATCTATTTATTAAGAATGCTATTTATTTATTTTTCGTACAGCAAGACCAGAAATCTAGAAGAAAGCTTAGAAAAAAGGAGAAGGAAAAATGCATCCCACCCCTTTCATTTTATGATCAGTAACAGTGGTATCAGCAGTCAATCGATCAATATCTCATATGATTCAACCCAATGTGCATGAGATGAAGAGTGAAGTTTGCAGTGTTTGATAACCCCCCTTCTTCTTATTCCCCAACAAGCTAACTTTGCTGTAGTTCACCTCTTTGATACAGACTTCTTTGATTTCTTAATATATACGTTGATGCTGGCAACACAACTATTTAACTATCAATGCGTTTCTCTACTTTTCAATTCTATAGTGAAAGGCAATATGACATAATCCAATAGGCTGCTATAATAACTCTCTCTTTATTACATACTTCAATTTCTTTCCTTGATTCAACTGTTTGAACTTCCTTTTGCATGATGAATTCTTAGTTATAAAAATGGACTAAGAATCACTGACACAATACACAAGTTCTTTTACCTTTTTAAAGTATTTTTTAAAATACCCTTCTATTTCACATAGTGAGTGATAACATTTTTTGGATATTATTGCAGCAACTAGGAACTGTCAATCCATAAAGACACAGAAAGATCAAAATGATAAACAAAAGGTGGGAAGTGCCACCTTTTGGCAGCTTCTCACCAAATCCTTGAGTGTTCAGTGAGACAGAAATGAACAGGAAGAAAGTTGAAGTTTGGCCTATTGATGCTTCATGTACTAGAAACAGAGAGAAAAAAAATCAGTCTGTATATTTTACAGAAATTTACTTTGCCCTAACCAAAATGAAATACATTTGCATACCAAGAGTACTTTTGAAATTTTATTATGTGTTTTATAATTTCGACTGCATTTTTTGCACTCCTATACAAATGTTCATGACAAGTTTTACTGTTATTACTGTGGATGAATACCCAGACTGGTGCAAGAAGGAACTAAAAGGAATGCTCAGAAGCTGAACAAAATGCCCTTCACTAGGTTAAATACTCAATGGTGCTCATTAACAAATAATATTCTTTCTAGGCTCCTTTGTAACTGAAAAGGCTGAGTTTAACTCAGTTCTGATGGGTTTGTTTGTGCACTGACACAGGCACACACACATTATGATGGTTGTATTTATATTTTAGGACTTGTGTTTAGTTTCAATCTGGTTGAGACTTCCAAGGAGGATGCAAAGGACCACTGACTGATTTAGTAGACTAATATTTTTCAACTTCACCAAGAGCCTCGGTGGTGCAGCAGACTAAAGTGCTGTTAAGTGCTAGAACTTAGCTGCCAGCTGCCTGCAATTAGTGCAAGTTCAAATCTTACCAGGCTCAAGGTTGACTCAGCCTTCCATCCTTTCGAGGTAGGTAAATTGACGACCCAGATTGTGGGGGCAATAAGCCAACTTTGTATAAAACAACACCGCTGGGGGGGGGGGCGAAAGCCCTAATAAGCAAGTATATACAAAAAAGTATGCAAGCTATTGCTATAATGCATTGTAAGCTGCCCTGAGTTTACGGAGAAGGGCGGCATATAAATTGGATTAATAAATAAATAAACTTTAGCAACTTTAAGATGTGTGGACTTCAATTTGCAGAATTCCCAGCCAGTAAGCTGTAACTGAAGGCAACTGTGGGCAAAATATGAGGAAAATTTGTTAGTTTAAGTTTCTACCACACTGTGGATGGGATGGGGGTGGGGGTAGGGGTGGGGGTGGGGGTTTACAACAGCAACTGCAAATGGAAGAAAAATTAGGAAAGGCGACCTTCTACATTTCTCTGCCTATGGAATGAACACTGAAATGGAACATCACTCAGGAAAAAGAAATTGAATCTATAGCATGCCACTTTTAGGTATAAGTGCAATCAGAGTGATATATGTATCACTTTACGCAAAGTAATTTGCAAACTTGAGGCCACAGGGGTTTCTTATATTAATACTAACACTAATGTTAATACTGATACTAACAGAATAGTCCGACAGGCAATATAAATGAACCAGAAACTAGGAAACCTGAAGTGAAAAACCAATCTTTTATATTTCATTTTTAAAAATCTGCATAGAATAATTCTTCATCTGATGTGGGTTCACACAATAAGCTTATTAAATTGGTCTCTCCAAGAGATTTGATTTTTTTAAAAATGTAAAACTAGAATATATTTGCTATGCATCAGAGTCTGTTGCTCATTTTCACATAACACTCACTCAAGTGAACAATGTCTGAAATACCTTGATCCAGATATACAAGGCAAACAGTAATTGCTCTGCTTATTCTACGTAGAGAGATGCAAGTTTATAGTTGCTTCTTGGATGACATACATAATTCACAAGGCCAGGAGCCCTGTGCATTCAGAGCTCCACACTGTGTGGATCACAGCAACTGCACTCAGATGAATGTACTTCCTGTTTCCAAGTAAATCTTCCCATCAGCACAGAGAGATTAATTACCGGTATCTCTTTCATGAATAATTTTTGTTTTAAATCTGAAGAGGCTTGTATGTTTCCATGTCTGCATTTCTAATGTGTGGTTGTGTATGTACATATTTAAAACATTCACTTATCTCTCAGAAAATAAACTGGCACCATAGTCAGGCATGTTTGTACTGGTTAGGAGAGGATTTTAGAAAAAAAACATATTTGTTACATAAGGAAGGAAATAAGTTCAGAAATATAAAATGGGATTTGTTGAATAGTTGAGGCTTTCCAGAATGCCACCACGAATATTTAAAACTAGGGAAAAGTGCTCAGAGAACAGACTGGAGTTCTTGCTTCATGAACTATTCAGTATAAATTAATGTATATTAATTCATACCAATATGTTAATACAGTAAGATGGTACAAAAGTTAAAATGCCAAGTGTGACAACATCTAGGCAAAGCTTTCCATCTAAATTAGGGTCTTCTTTCCCTCTCTTAAAAAAAAAACCCTTGTAACAACAAATTTGTAACACCCTCATCATGCTCACCATAAGATGAATCACTGCTGTACACATAACAAGTTGAAATGAAGCAAACAGCTGTTTAATGAAGTTTGTTTTGGAGCATCTGTCACAGGAACCTGAAAGTAAATGACAAAATTGGCTTAATGGTTTTGTTTATCACCTATTTTTCAACTGTTTATACCTGCCTTAAAGATAATGAACAAACAACTGGCAATTGGGACAGGATGCAATGGGAGTCCAGCTAGCAAGACATTAATATTAAGAGGCAAGATCTGGGAATAGAAGAATTTGATTGTATTCCTGGGCTCATGGAGTCAGCTCAGCTTTGTACCACTCATGTACAGACAATCCCCACCCAATATATATATATATATATATATTGCACTGAAATTAGCAATATTGAATTTTTAATCAGATGTTAAGAAAAGCTATTGTGATTATCCAAAGTTCGGGAAGATGTTAAGATAGTGGAATATTGGTTTGCAACAAAGAAAATATATCTTATTTTGCATTGTGCTGATTTATACATTGTCTGTAGTTTATTTAATTTAACATTATTATGGGAAATAATCACCCAACTCACCAAGAACATTTTAATCATGTTTCCCTAGGTCTGAAAAGGAATTTACTGACTTCAATCAACTAAGGGTTTCAATTAGAAAAGCAGTGGAGATGGGAAATCATCTGACAATGCACTCAGAGAAGGTCCAATAGAATCAAGCAACAAAGAATCAGAAAGAAGAAAATAAAAATACTTATTATTGCTCTGTCATTTTAAAGATGGAACAAGGACACATAACACTATTCACTTGAAGTTCTTTATACTCCAGGTCTTCAATATTACAATGATTAGAATATTAGAGCTTTAGAAACACTAGATTCTTAATTCTAAGCATCCATGGGTAAAAGAGAGAACAAATCTCCCAAAAAGCAGAATGGATGGCATTTAGCTAGAAATATTTCCCTTATATGGGTCCTTGAAACAAACAGTGTCTCCTTCTCCTTCTTCTTTTGCTCCCCTTTCCCCTCCTTCTTTCTCCTTCTCCTCCTATTCCTTCCCCTTCCCCTTTGTCAGTCCCTCAAGGTAGACCAGACTAGGAAACAAAAATCATCTACGTATACTAATTTCTATGTTTATTATAAGGCTTTGCTAACAGAATCTTACAAGTGTCAATGTGCTCTCCCACTCTTCATGAAAACTAAGGAAAACTTATGTGTTTACTCAGGTTACAGTTCAGGCCCAGACTCAGATTTCTTTTTATCTATTGTCCTGGTTATAGCTCTTCTTTCTGTGCCTCAAGGTTATTCTTTCTGTTGATTACATCCTGATTTCAGGAACAATCTATTGATAATGCAAATTACTGACCAAGCAATTTTGCACTATCACCAGTCTTCAATTAATATTAGTTTTCTGAATGAATGGGAGCTTGTGTACTTTTCATTTTAAACAAGGAAAAAAATAGGCTTCATCTAGTTACTCAAACATTTAGCTATTACACGCTCAGTCTTTGTCTTTAGAGTTCTTTTCTGCAGCCACCAGAGATTGAATTTTACTGCTTCTTTACATGCACTTTCAAATTATCCCTATTCTGGGAGATTCAACAATTCAAGCAATATTGTATAGCTAGCATTACATCCTTGAACATTCATCCATCATCAGCTACATTAGAAGCTTAAGCAAAATACTTAAATTGTAGGTATCTACACAATATTTCTTTTATTTCTGTTGGCCTATTAATCCCTCATTTTAATATGGAAAAATATGGTTTGGTCCTAAGGTCCTATTTAAAATAGATGTTTTGACATTATTGATGTACAGTACATTTAAACAAAAGTTGAAGGGAGCTTTTTCTTAAAAATGTCAGCCACATAATGAGTCATTTCCCCCCCTAAACTACAGGCCTGGTCAGAGTATTAGTTTATCCCTCTCTTCCCATAAATAATAATTCCAATCTGGAGTAAGTGAGTACATATAGAAAAATAAATTTTCCTTCAAGTTGAGCTTGTCTCCTGGTATTTTATAGACATAACTTCCTTATCAATAATATAGAAGTGATTTGCCACTATCTTCTTTCCATTTTTAACACTTCCCAGTTTAGAACATGCATGTATTTGTGTGTATACATGCACACACAGAGAGAGACTTATTTATTTATTTTTCTAATTTATATGGTCACTCTTTTTACAAGAAGTGACTCTGGATGTAAACAGCAAAATAAAGAATAAAAACAATAAAGATGTCAAATGCAGTCATATTTTAAAACACACAAAATTTGATCAGCAACAGAGCCCCAGGCCTGAAGACAAAGCCAGATATTAAGGGACTTCTAGAAGTTTAGAAGGTGTGGAGTTGACCTCAAATCATAAGGCCCACCTCCTTGACCCTGACAAGTACAATTTGAACTGGAGATGGGAAGCAGCGCATGTTTTTCTTGCCAGATCTGGTAGAAGGAGCATATATAATTGGGGAGAATATAAATGCATAAACATATGGATACATACATACATACATACATACCGAGGATTTTGTAATATCCTCCCATCTAAATACTAACCAGGTCCAAACTTGTTTAGCTTTCTGAGATCACACCAGATCACTTTGATGGTGGCTTTCTGTAAATAAAAACAGGAGTGCTATTGCATGATATATAGATTTCTATATTGTCGACTTGGCCATCATTACCTAGGATCTGATTTTATAACTATATCTTGCTTGAAAATGGGAAAAAACACAATTATTGTACATGTCATAAAATTATTGGATGAAAATGTTGATGGTATAATCGAGAGTGCTGTACCTACACATTCCTTATAAGGGCTTTGACATTAAGAGATTTTATTCTGTAGGGCATTCAGTTAGGGATTGCAGAAAATACCTGCTTAACGAGAGGAATGTGTTGCAAAATTAGAATACATTTACAAGAACTTAGAGGAGGGGATACACCAATATTTTTTTTCCAAACTTGTTCTCATTTTGTTATGCATGAAGTGAATGTATTTAGAAATAAAGAGGATTTAAACAGGTATGGAATGAATGATCAGATCAGCTAATAGCCTTTTTGCTGAAAAGGAACATGTGTAAGATTTATCACCAGGCAAGTTTACTAATTTATCATTTTGAATAAAATCAATAAACATTAACAACTGACTAGTTCCCATTAAGACACTAATGGGTCGGGGAGAATATCGTCATGCAAAATGTTTCCACATTTTAGCATTAAAAGGTCAAAACCAATAAATCATGTCACTTTAGTAAATATATTTTCTTTTTAACTAGTTTTGAGTATTTCTGCTATCTAATTGGTTCTCATGAAGGGGTTCATTCACTCTCAGTTACTATGTTCTCTTTATGGTTTCTTTTATTACATTTTTGTATGGAGAAGATGAGTCACTCGCATTAAGAGTGAACAAACCATGCATGACATCTGAAACCTATACGTTTTTGTGACCATATACCACTATTTCCCATCTTGGATAATTTCTAAATGTGTGAATTTCAGTTTCCAGATTTCCCTAGCCAACATGCCCATTGCTGAGGACCTTGGGAGATGAAGTTCACTGTTTCAGGATCATTTTACACTAAGAATACACAATATGAGGCCATCCAGCTTACACACATTAAAGTATTTTAAAACAAATAATAGAAACACACACACACATTTGTATGCATATACATACAAATAGCAGAAGACAAAAGAACAAACCTCTTTTAGAAATAAAATGTTGAACTTATTCCTAGATGATTGTTCCCATTGCACAGCTTTGTAAGGTCTTCCCTATGTCACCTATGATGTAAGATTTCTAGAGTTTACTTATGGTATTTTCTGGGCACGAACAACATTAGTTTTCTAATACTGATCAAAATGGGCAAGGTTCATGTCTTTAACTTTTTCAGCATCAGAAAATCCTAAAAGTCAATATCCATGGGGTTGATGAAATTATTTATAATCAGTTTTCCTACATTCTTTTCCAAGGTGCTAATGACCTTTTTCCCCTTTCTTTTTGCAACCATTGATTGTGTTGGAAATCAAATATGAGTTCATTACTGAGGCAGTTTTATACATGCCACCTTTCTCTTAACCCTCCCACAAAGTAAGTGGTAAGCCTTTTCACCAAACATATTTAGTGGCCAGTCTGTTTGAAAAACAACAAATGTTATGCTCAACCTATACTTTTGAGAAACTGGAAAATAATGATGTCTTCACTAGGTCTTCTACCAAGCCACTTTTTAAGGAAAAAAGACATAAAACTTGGGGAAACTAAAATATTCTAGTACTTATAATAAGAATTGCAAAAAAGTAAGGAATATCTTCTGAGCCAGAGTACTAATAGGACCATTTTTTCCCTTCATTAGTCCAGTCGTTGAAATTACTATTTGTTGCCTTCTTAACTAATGATCTCTTAAGCAGCTGAAGGAAGAGAAGGAGAAATTTTGTAGTTACTCTCTCTTATTTTCCTTTCCAGCAATTAATTTTACACTTTTACACTTTCTCTCAGGCCTTTTGTTTGAAGTATCTTGATAAAGGAAACTCTTCCTCTGTCTTCCTCTGACTCTTGAAGAACCGAGACATGTTTTTGCCCAGCTCCACCATGCAATTTCTGAAAGGTTTTCTTCCCTTATGGAAAAGTGTTTGTTTTTCTATGAATCCTCAAGTGTAGGAAATGATCAAGCTGAGAAGAGTCAAATGTGTCATCAGTTTGCAGTTGCTATGCTCCCACAAGAAACCTAAGTCCAGCCCCCCCCCACATGAATTCCACTAACTCTTATCTGACACCAATTTGCCTTGACTGTTAGTAGACCAGATTCTTGTATATAGTTGCATGGAATAACGTCATAATACTTTTGAACTCTATTCCGGCTCCTGGTTTCTTGTGCCTGAGACAAGAAATTTAAGAAATTCTGTTGATGGTGCTTTTGAACTTACTATAAGAGATGGTGGAAAGATCTACAGTTGATGTTATTTTCTATGAAACATCTTTCAATCACTCTAAAACCTGCCTGACTGTTCATATATCCCAATTTTAAAAAGTCAAAAGGAAGAATTCCTCATACTTTATCATGGAATTTATCTGTGGGAAGCAAGGGAGGTAGTAAATTTCTACAGTAATGATTGTGCAATGAAAGGCAGATACCTATGCACATAGTATTTAATTAAACAAATATAAGAATAATCTATTCCATTCATGATTTATTACTAAAAACCCCTTCTTGCTTGAAATAAATTATAAAAATAAATTTTCTTTCATCAAATTAAAATTACTATAGGGTATTAAATTAAGATCAAAATGAATTTCTGATATTTCAGAAGTTCAAGTTATCCACATGGAGAAATCATGTAGTCAAAATTTGAATATTTTATAAGATTTTTTTTTTTACTAGTATGAAACTCCTCTTCTCTTTCTTGATTTATCCTGAGAAAATTCCTGTTTAGTGGAGCCTTTCTCTCCCTTAGTCACTTTTTCCTTTCCCAACATCCTCTCCTTTTGTATATATATTGAGATCCCATTTTCTTGGATAATCACATCATCACCCAGCACTGCTGGAAAATGTGATCATGTCTCCTTTCAGAAATCTTTTTCTGCTCCATCATCTTCCCAATATGCAACCTTCCTTCTCTTTTCTCTAATGGTCTTTTTCTCTCTGTGCTTTTCTCCTTAGCTAGAAATCCTTTTCTCTCCTTTTTACAAAGTTGCTCTCTATTCCCACATTAAACCATGCCCCGCAATATGCTCAAGTGCATTCTTTAGCATGTGATTATGTGTATCAATGAATGCAACATTATATGACATTATATGTCTCTTGCATTCTTTGTTCTAGCAAGAAATTGAATATGTCATCTGAAAATCTCTTCCATTTTTGCTATAGCCAGAAGTCTTAAGACTTCTCTCTCTCTCCCCTTCCCTCTCTCTCTCCTTTTGTTGAACTCCGTCTATGTGCCATTAAAAGGAAACATTTCTTGAAATCTTGTCCTAGCTTTTCATTTCTTGGACTCACCCTCTGTCTTTCTCTTGCAAAATGTATTAAATTCCCCACAGATTATTAATTGCTTCAGATCTGTGTTCACCTTTTGTTAGTCATTATTAATTCAGATCACTGTGTTAGTCTTAGATTCTCAGCTGCTTAAGCTAGAAATGACTAGCTACAAATGACTAATTATAACTATTGATTACCAAATAATTATTTGATTACCCCAAATGTCAGTTAATTTAGTTTCATTTTTGGACTTCCAGAACTCATGTGCCTGTTTATCAAAGTATAATACTCAGTTCCTGACAGAATATTTTCTGAGGAAGACCCCAGTTTATTGCACCTTGATCTGTAGATCACAACTGACAAGTTACCACCAGTCAGTTTCTCACTGATGGAAGTGCCATAGCAGTCTCAGACCTAGTGATGAATGGCATAGCATCTCAGCTTAAAAGGGAGCATGATCCCAAATTTAAACCTTTAAGAGTTTCTGTGGGAATGACTCTGTCCTGCTCCTGATCAAAGTAGACTTGGGAATGTAATCAACTATCTGTCCTTGTTCTCAAAAATTGATTTCTTAGGCTGAAATAATAAAAAAGCATTATAAGTTTACCAGACAAGCAGAGCAAAGTACCAAAACTGTCAATCTTAATCTTAACCAACAGCCATTTAATAGGAGGATGTATTGTGGGAGAAAGTTGAAGAAATAAGTCACACAAAGGTTAAGAGAGTTAGACCTCCTTCTGGTCCCTTGGAATCTGAGAGTTGAAGCTCTCTTTGTCGTTGCTTCCTTACAACAGCCATCTATTTCTCAGTCTTACTTGCCAAAAGCTAGGCAAATTAACAGACTGCATGTCCCTGGTTGCAAAATGAGGATATTACTTCTATTTTAAATAGATATGTTTTGGATTGTTCTGGAAATGCAAGTGAAGAAACCCACCTCCAAGAAGTACCATGCATATCAAGTGAGCCCAGTCTTGAACAGCTGCCATTAGCCTTTTCCACAATAACTGTGACTCTTGTAAGTCCTTGTGTACCTTAAACGTAAATGGATTGATAGGCTTAAATATTGCAAATCATCCCACCAGATGATTTGACATGTTCTTTCCCAAGTGACAAGTGTAATCAGTTAGACTGTACTTACCTAAATGTTCACAACCAGAGAGAGGCCTCAAATAATAAAGCAGAATATCCATGCATCAGTGTCAAAGAATGATTATTTGGAATTATGTAAGGATGAGTTATTCAACATATTATTTTGGACAGCTTTGCATTTTTTCAGAAAGAAACAGCGTAATTGTTGGCAGCGTGGGATTCAGAAAACAACACTGATTCAAAATGCAACACTAGGCTCAGTCCTGGACCACTAACATTGTTCTTTGTAGGTATCTAAATTGGAAATTTGCAGAAAAGTTTGATATCACACACACACACAAAACTTTGTTATTAGTATAATATGAATGCACTTTATGCATTAATTATTGCCCAAAGATTCTACCTCTATATATTTGAACATTGCTGGAAGTTCAGGTTCATTAGAAATCTGAACTATATATACAGTATTTTGTTATTGTTTTCCTATTGTTAACTGCCAGTTTATAAAACACGAGGTAAAAATGACCCAAGAACCAACCACAATAATGTTGGATTTATCTAAAGAGACTAGTTTCTTTTAAAAGGAACTATTACACTGGACAAAGTGTTCCATCTATCACAAAGTCTCCTCACTCTGTAGTTTTATTTTAAGATTTTATCTTACTTGGAGGCCACTATATCTTCCAACTGTGTGGCTTTGTTACTGAACCGCAAGCCATTTCATTCTCCAAAACTCACATTTAACCTTCATGATTCCATAGTAAAATATTAATATTGTCAGATCCCGCTCATCTCTGATATCATTATTGTAGCTAGAGATAAGGATGCCTGACTATCTCCTAGAAATCTCAGCAAAGCATCCCAGAGATGAAGCTTAGCTTGTTTGAAAAAGGAGAAAATAAGCCAAATGTAAGTTTTTAAAGCAAAACGCATATGAGCTTTTTATATCACATGTAACTAGAAAATGACAGAACGGTTTATTATTATTATTCTTGAAAAACTCCAATGAATGCCATTAGTTTGATTGCCCCTCACTTTTAAAAATGACTGTCAGTCGTAAATCCTCCAGACAAAACTAGAAGTTTACACAAGGTTTTTTCCCTCTTTTCTCTTGTGGAAAAGGTTCAGAGAATACAAGTAATTCTCAGTTTACAACCCTTCATTTAGTGACCGTTCAAAGTTACAACGGCACTAAAATCAGTGACCTATGACCATTTTCACACTTACGACTGTTGCAGCATCCCCATGGTCATGTGTTCAGAATTCAAGTGCTTAGCAACTGGCATGTATTTATGACAGTTGCACGCCCAGTGGCCATGTGATCACCATTTGTTACCTTCCCAGCCAGCTTCTGAGAAGCAGAGTAAATGGGGGAAGCCAGATTTTCTTAATGATCACATGATTCACTTAACTGCAGTTATTCAGTTAACAACTGTGGCAAAAAGAGTTGTAAAATGGGGGAAAACTCGCTTAGCAACTGCCTTGCTTAGTAATGGAAATTTGGGGCTCAGTTGTGGTTGTGGTTGTGGTTGTAAATTGAGGACTGTAACATGAACCTGTACTTCAACCTGTACTTGAAACAATGTAGAGATGTTTTATAGGCAATGTCAAAAAAGATCTGTATATGTAGATATAAAAAGCTCGTCCCTACTACAAATTCATTTTTTCTTCATCTATTCCCAGAGATTTAATACTTGGGGATGGTGAGAATGATACAAGTGAACTTAACTCAATATGATAAAAGACTTTTAGCCCTTCTGAACAGTATTCATTGGTACAAAAGTGAAATATAAAGTTGATATATAAACAAACATAGACCGGCAGTACCTTGCTTTTGCCTCAGGCTATAGGCAGCCTTATTTTCAGACAAATTGGATGGTTATAGAGGTAGCTTGATCAGGAGTGTTGGGGATCCTCTTTATTAATTTAACATTGCAATTCTAACCCAATATTTAAACACAAGTCCTTGCTCTTTCACAATGTAGGTATAACTGGAAAACCATAGACTGTCAATCTAGAGAGGGGGAAAAGAGAAGTACATTTGAAATTATCTTTAATTTAATGTACTGCCATAGTTTATTATAAAAACCTTATCAGACCAGATATTAATATCTATATCTAATTTGAGATAGATACATATATTCTGTATCTATGTCAAATTATGGTTTGATATAAAAGTGGGTATGGTTAGGAATCAATCCAGACACAGAGACAGCTGAGATGTTACTTAAAGTGAAATGCATTTCTATTTACAAAGGGTTACTTTAAAAAAACTGGTACAATTTGTGTTCAAGCTCAATGTTTTGTTCCCATACTAAGTAGTATTCCTCTTGGCACACACATGCACACATACACAACACTTTAAAGTTTTATAGTCCAATAAAGCAATGAAAATTAAAACCTGATTTTGATTGAAGTGAATCTGACATAACTGATCAAATACATTAAGTACTTTGATATCAATTGTAGGAACGGAACAAAATAATATCTTATGTAAACATGTATAGGTCAAAAATCAGCACTTTGGCCAAGCTGAGAATTGTTCTAAATCATGAAGATTATCCCAATGCAAGAGCTAATAAAACTGTTTAAAGCTTCTTGGCTGCACTTGAATATACAAACCCCAATATGGTTTGATAGGAGCTGAAAATAGAATATCTCTGCATTGAATTCTTTTAGTTTTAATTCTTCTGAGCAATTTCTGATTTCTTCTGTTTGTCTTCCAAATTGCACTAGCCCAGATCAAGAAGGGAGACTCCTATCATTTATTAATTTTCACTAGGAGAACTACAACGCATAACTTAAGAATATTTCATTGGAGTGTAGAGTGAAAATCTCATTATCTTCAAGGAAAACAAGTAATGGAAGGTGAATGAACACCATCACACTTACAGTATTCAATGCAACTACAGCTTTTTCCCAATGTCATGGTGGAATAATGAAGTCAATATGACACTATAAACACTATCCAATAAATTACAGCATAATCAGTCATAAATGATTATGTAACCTGTCATATGCCATTGGCAGAACTATAGAATGGGAGGTAGAGCAGGCACAATTGGTTATGGTTTATATAAATGCTCTGCATTTCTCCCTCAGATGACTGTCCTTTTTCTCCCCTTTTGCGATCAGAAAAGTTCATAATAAAATTTGTACATTTGAAGCATCCAAGTCACATCTTCAATTAGCCATGTTTAAGGTCTTCAGCACTCAATTTAAAAAAATGAATTGTGCTAATCCCTGTTCCATTGCAGACTGCTAGTTCCTCTTATAATGGATCTTTCCAAATTCCAATTTGGTACAGGGAATTGGTGCTATATAACACTCTATGAACTATCAGCTGTATAATAATAATAAGAAAACCTTGAACTGGATTAAGTTACAAGCTACCATTAGGAGAGATTTAACATATAAAATGCCTTGCTTGATTTACTTGTTACTTTTTGTACTGCTTAAATACTTTTCATATTCCAGCAGTCCTATTAGGGGAATTGCATTTTATAGTTCAAAGAAAAGGTTGAGGAAGAAGAGTTATGAGCAGCTAGTAAAGAAAATTGTTTTAATTTACATGAAATTCTATTTCTATTTTAAAACATCCCATTGAAAATAAAATGGAATAAGTATTGCTTTCATATTTTTGTTTCTGCTGAGAAACCACAATATATTCACAGTTTCTATGTTCTTAAAAATATTTATTGGTGTATTTCTTTTTATAACCTTATTGTACAACATGAAAATGTTAAAAACATGGTTTTTTTTTCCTCCCCAGAGGAAAATCGCCATACGACTTTATTCTATATATCATAAAAATAATTAACTTGGCCAAATCTGCTCTTGTGTATTTTACATGAATTACAATACATGTGGAAGAATCAGAATATCAATAAATTCCCCTAGTATAAAGAAATGAAGAAAAAGAGGGGAGAGGGACCATTAGTTGATAGTATTTGCTTTTGATTGTACTTTAGGAAAATGAAATCGAAACTGCTTCCTTGAGGAAATAAAAAGGTAGAGAATGAATTCACTGATGGAAGCAGTAAAGATTTCAGAAAAGGGAATATCAGTGGCTAGAATACTGTAATACACATACAACTTCTATCCCCTACCTAGTAATGTAAGAATATGCAAGCAGTAAAAACATTATCCTGATCTTCTCTACCATCATAGCAACCATTATTCTGTCCTTGCAAATTCACTAGACATCTCAAAACCCTCAGAGGAGATTCCTATATTTTACTGTACAGTATCATCAATTGAAGATGGTACATAGCCCTGTGCACATTTATGGATTTCTCCTATGAATCCAGTCACAGAATTCAAAAGACTTTTGGATGAAGTGAAAATGTAAAAATTTAAGAAATAAACTGCAGTGGCATGCATATGAAATGACTATGCATCTACAATCTGTCTGGAATTCATCACTCGCACAAGCAGAAGACCATCTGTATAATGGGATCTTCAACTTCTCTCTCTCTGTTCCTCTTTGAGCAGACCTAGATGATCCTTCTGTTGAATAGGAAATATGTTAAGAAGGCGGTGGGTTGTTTGTCTGGTTTTTTGGGGAAGTTTAAGAGCTGCAATTGGGAGGCCTACATCAAACATCTTAACTTTCTAGGTATTTTAAAAAATGGGAAAAGATTCAGGATTTTATTTGTTAAAATCTATGTTAAATATGATAAATAAATAATAATTCCACCTCCCTTGGGCATTTTCTACTTCAAGGTGAAGAGATATTACCCTGAAAAAAATGGCATGACACTGCCAAAATTCATTGTGTAGAAAGAATTCCCAGGCCACTAAAAAGAAATTCAGATTCTATGGGTGTTAAAATTGTGTCTGTTTATACAAATTCTCATATTCACTTCCATTTCATCAGCAATAATGCTCAAATGCATGTGCAGGTTCTCATTGTACCAATTTACGCTAATGTATTTCCCACTTTTAAGAGTGCTTTTCTTAAAAACAAGTAGACTTGTGTTCCAGATTTTTCAGGATTTTCATCTTGTCATCTTTGACCCTGCAGAAATATCACTTCTGTAACAAACAGGGAAGTTTGTTATTGCAGTAACAGTATAGTATAGTCAGGTCCTTGTGCATGTTCTGAAGGATCCTTAAATACTGGAGAAATATCTAAAGGGAGAGTGCTATCCATTTATCTACTGGGTATCTGTCTAAGCTCACTGCTGGGGTAACAACAATTGTATAAGTAATAATAACAGTAATAGTAGTTTCAAGGAGTAGAATTGTAGGACTTAAAGAATATATACAATTCTAAGTATAACACTTAAATTAAAATTAAACAAATCTTACCTAAAAGCGCATCTTAAAAGACATGTTTCAAGGCAGGAAAGATAGAAGTGGAAAATTTGAGCCACACCATGGTTGCTTAGCAGCTGGAAACATGTCATTTCCACACATTCTCCTTTCTGTTCTTTCCAGCTTAAGCCTGGTTAGATGAACAAAAACCAGCTGTATCTCTAGTGCTATCATGCCTTCCTTTTTCAAAGGGCAGCAAAGACATTAGCATTTCTCAGCTCCTTCAAACCAAGTAAGTAGCCTTAGGGCTTTTCTGCACTACAGTCTTCAGCTGCTTGACTACTCTGCACTAACTGGCTGGAAGTTTATGGAAGTTATTCCAAATTTCAACCCCTTTCTCTTTTTTTTGGCAACAATGATGGGCAGACATTGGTTGACTTTCCTGCTTCTTTTCCCTGTGTGGATCAAATGTCTGAATTTTAGACCGTCTTTGAATACTGCCATGAAAGCAGAATATAGCACTTTGTAAATTCCATTAATTCAGTGGAGAGTTAAGCATATGCTTAAATCTTTCACAGATATATCAGTGGGCAATTTCAGTTTTATCATACTCAGACACTAGACTACCTTGCTTTAAAAAGCCTGCTATTACAATATCTTTTGGAACATCATTTGCATTATGTAAGGAGTGATATCTAAAATCTGCTAAGAAATTTCTCAAAAACTATTGAAATTCTTACTAACACGTCAAAAACAATACTGTGAGCAAATAATTATAGATTAATTTCAAATTGAGAAGTGAGGAACCTCAGGGACAAATATTTCTACATGTTGCTACCAGACCATGATGGCAGAGATCCTATGTTTTAAGTATTATGAAAATCCTATCACTGCTTTTGGGTTTTTTTTTTTCACTGCAAAATGAATCAGCTTCTTTATTCATATTACACCCTAATTTTTTTACAAATAACTGTGTTATGTGGTCTCGGGCCTTATTCAGTTTAAGGAAAGAGAAAAACTGTTTAGTTCACTTTTTTATAGTAAATCAAGCTTTTTAAACTAGTACGTGAGTCAGAAAACTATGATCTTTTAAGTCTCACAGTTCTCCTCATGTTGCAATATCATTTCAGCCAAAAACATGTGTAAAACAACCAGTTTGGTTTAACAGTTAAGGTCCCGGCCTAGAAACCAAGAGATGGTGAGTTCTAGTCCCACCTTCGCCATGAAAGCCAGCTGGGGGACCTGAAGTCATTCACTCTCTCTCAGCCCAACTCACCTCACAGAGTTGTTGTGGGGAAAATAGGAAAAGGAAGGAAGCATGCTCACCTCTGAGGTTTTTCTAAATAAAAAATAAAAGTGGGATATGAATTTAAAAGAACAATCAATAATAATAAAGTTTAGGTCCCTAAGCCACTTGAAACCAGACCTCCTAGCCATTCTGACTAGGAGTTCCAGAAACTTCTCTTCCTTCTCATTCAGGCTTCCTTCCCCAGCATGAATTGTGTTTGGCCTAGTAGTGGGAAGGGCCAAGATCAAGTCCCCACCCACCCCTCTCAGTCACGGAAACTCATTGGGTAACTGCCCCTGTCACTCTGTGTCACAGGACAGTTGTGAGGGAAAAATGGAAGCAAGAGTACTGTATATGCTGAATGAAAGGGAGGCTATTAGTCTATAATAGCAGATAAAAATATAAATATTTTGCATATGTGTGTGTGTTTGTAAAATCTTTGTTTTTATCCATTATTATAGGCTTATACTCTGCCTTTCATTCAGCATATGAATATACATATACATATACATATCATAGATTCATAGATAGATAGATACATAGATAGATAGATAGATAGATAGGCAGACAGATAGATAGATAGACAGATAGACAGACAAACAGATACAGACAGATTACAGATCTGAAAATATTCAAACCTTTCAAAAGTGCTTTTTATTTTGAAAAGGCAACTGGACTGATTTTCTTGAGGAAAAACAATATATTTCGCTTCCTATTCTGGAAGCTTCATCATTTGTATTGGATGCTGTGGGAGATGGAAGGACAGTTATTGACAGTTGAGATTAGTTGGTGGGAGGGGGGAATGATAGGTTCTGACAGGACTGGTGGGGACGGGGTGGAATGGAAAGATGGTGTTTTCTTTTGCAGTCAACTCTGAGAGCCATTGTGGTTACTTGAGGTTTTATCTGTGACTTCACGGTCATCTGAGTCAGAGATGTGGAATCTTCTTGGAACAACCAAAAGGACTGTGTTGTAAATTGGGGATAGGTGGTGTTTTATCCCTCATTCTCTGCTGAGAGAGGGCTGCTCAATGTTAATATAAGTGGCCTCTTTTACCCCTCTTTCAAACAATGGTCCTTGCTATCCAAAATGATCTCCTATGTTCAAGTCTTTCCTATATTGAGAGGGTAGAGGGAATTTGGGTTCTTTCTTCTCATTCTTTCAATTTGGTTGTAAATGAGAGAAATAGTTGGAGAAATTTGCTAACTCTCATGAAATCTTCTATGCTAGAAAAAAAAAAGGATTCATATTCATCCCATAGTTTATGTTGTTGGGAATTCTTCTGATACCGGTGTAATTCTATTCAGCTATTTGTAAAAGAAAGAAAGGAAGGAGGGAGGGAGGGAGGGAGGGAAGGAAGGAAGGAAGGAAGGAAGGAAGGAAGGAAGGAAGGAAGGAAGGAAGGAAGGAAGGAAGATAGATTACTATCAACCTGCCTTCCATTGAGGACCTGTATATTGCATGTGTCAAAAAGAGGGCTGTGAAAATATTTACAGACCTTTCGCATCCTGGACATAACTTGTTTCAACTCCTACCCTCAAAACAATGCTATAAAGCACTGCACATCAGAACAACTAGACACAAGAATAGTTTTTTTTCCCGAATGCCATACCTCTACTAAACAAATTCTCTCAACATTACTATTAATCTTCTCATCATTCCTATCACCAATCTCCTCTGACTTATGACTGTACGACTGTAACTTGTTGCTGTATCCTTATGATTTATATTGATTGCTTATTTGTACCCTGACTGTCATTGTGTTGTACCTTATGATTCTTAATGAATGTATCTTTTCTTTTTATGTACGCTGAGAGCATACTGTATGCACCAAAGACAAATTCCTTGTGTGTCCTATCATACTTAGCCAATAAACAATTGTATTGTATTGTATTGTATTGTATTGTATTGTATTGTATTGTATTGTATTGTATTGAAAGAAAGAAAGAAAGAAAGAGAAAGAAAGAAAGAAAGAAAGAAAGAAAGAAAGAAAGAAAGAAAGAAAAAGAAAGTGCATTTGTGACTTTTTGTTGATGAAACTGTTACTGTTCACAAGGGTTTTTATTGGGTTTCCCAAAAGACAGGGTGAATAGTGGTTTGGAAGAGGAATGGATTAGAACTGATTATTAATTAACAATAGAAGCATGAATGAACTAGATCTAGAAATAGGACATAATCCGATGGGGATGATGGGGACAGAAGTGACTGACTTGATCCCAGGTCCAAGAGTTCTCATCAGAGAGAAAAAAAACCCACAAGGTGTGGAGGGCCATAGGTTTCAAAGCAAAATAGTTCAGCAGTCCTTTACTTACAACCATTTGTTTAGTGACCATTTGAAGTTACAATGGCACAAAAAAAGATGACTTATGACCATTTTTTCATACTTACAACCATTGCAGAATTCCCATGGTCACATAATCAAAATTCAAATGTTTGGCACCTGGCTGTATTTATGATGGTTGCAGTCTCCCAGGGCCATGTGATCATCTTTTGCGACCTTCTGACAAAGTCAACCAGGAAGCCAGATTTATTAACAGCTGTGTTATTAACAACTGCAGTGATTTATTTAATATCTGTAGCAAGATAGATTGTAAAATGGGGCAAAACTCACTTAACAACTGTCTGACTCAGCAATGGAAACTTTGGGCTCCGTTGGGGTTGTAAGTCGAGGACAACCTGTAGTGCTGTTGAAGTTTTTAAAAAAATCAGAGACAAATAAATCAATATTGCTCCCTCAAACAATATCATGCTATAAGTCAGGTCCAAAATGATGGGAAAGGGCTCTAAAATTTAATTTAACTGAGGAGAATTTCTGAATGACTTATTGCACAAAAGCAACACATACATGCATACAACTATTTAATTATTAAGCAAAATGGCATTTGATGACATACTCACCTTCAACTAAAATTAATATTATTTTGACATGCAAGAATCTAAATAATAGTGATATGTCCTCAGATGTTTTAGGGAATAGAAAAGCAAGGTTGCATTAGCTTGCCATATGGCAAGTTTGAATATACTGAATTTAAAACACTACGAAATCCACTATTTCCTCAGAAAAAGAGAGAGAGAGATAGAGAGATAGATACATACATGGTCCCAAAATCCCAACATCAATTATCCTGTTTGTTCATTGCCATTAGCAAATATTTTATATTGTGTAATTTCCATTATAATCATAATATATGTTAGTTATAAAAATTGGATATGAGATATCTGCTAATGCAAATATTACTGATAATATTTTACCATAATTGTCTTGCATTTTGTACTTGAATTACAGGTAGTTCTTGCTTCCTGACTGCCTACTTTAGTGACTGTTCAAAGTTACAATGGTGTAAAATATTAGATTTGCAACCAATTCTTATATTTATGGCCGTTGCCATGTTCTGTGGTAACATGATTACCATTGATATGCTTCACAACTGATTTGCAACAAGTAGCGTTGATAGAGAAGGTGGAAATAAAATCATAGGTTGTGGTCACATGATGTTTCTTTTAATGACCAAAGGAGAAATAAGGTCGTCATGTTCACATGCTTTTCCAGTCAAAAACCATAGCTCTTAGTAACCAAGTTGCCAGTCCCAATTGTTGTTGCTAAGTGAGGAGTACCCATATTTGCAATACACAATTGGAAAAAAGTGCCATTTTAAACATTTGGTATTCTATATATTTAAAGTTTAGAATTTCAATCTATCAATTTATGAAACAAATTTTCATTATCAAGTTTTCTTTTCACTATAATGGACAATGCAACGGTCATAAATATATGCCAGTTGCCAAGCACTCAAATTTTGATCACGTGATCATGGGGATGCTGCAATGATCATAAGTGTGAAAAATGGTCATGTCATTTTTTTCACTGCTGTTGTAATTTTGAATGGTCA